TGTAGATATTCTTTTTTTCTTTTTTTTGTCTTTTTGAGACAGGGTCTCCCTGTAGCCCCAGCTGGCCTGGAACTCACTATGTAGACCAATCTGGCCTTGATCTCATAGAGATCTGCCTGTCTCTGCCTCCAGAGTGCTGGGAATAAAGCCCAGCTGTTTTGCTTTCTTGAGATAAGCATGTGGCACCATACCTATCTTGCCCTTGACCTTATAGAGCCTTGAACAAGTCACTTCACCTCCCTGAGTTTAATGGAAACTGAAATCCATGAAGTGGGATAGTTAACCCATGCTCTTCCTTCTAAGGTACACTAAGATGAAGACTGCCACCAATATCTACATTTTCAACCTGGCCTTGGCTGATGCGCTGGCCACCAGTACGCTGCCCTTCCAGAGTGCCAAGTACCTGATGGAGACGTGGCCATTTGGGGAACTACTGTGCAAGGCTGTGCTGTCCATTGACTACTACAACATGTTCACCAGCATCTTCACACTCACCATGATGAGTGTGGACCGCTACATTGCCGTCTGCCACCCCGTCAAGGCCCTGGACTTCCGGACACCTGCGAAAGCCAAGTTGATCAACATTTGTATCTGGGTCTTGGCCTCAGGTGTTGGGGTCCCCATCATGGTCATGGCCGTGACCCGGCCCCGGGGTGAGTGAGAGAGGGAGCTGCAACACAGGTCTTAGACCTTGGGAGGCAACATGTGAGCCCCTGTGGGTTTCTAGGCACTTACTGGGGTGAGTGGGGGTGGTCACCAGTGACCATGTGCATTACTAAGCAATGAGAGGGTTGGCCAGTGGGAGGGTGGAAGGTCAGCTAGTGGAGAGTGTGGGTGGTAGACTGTTGTGAGGATGAATGACTGGTTGATAGGCTGTGGGCCAAAAGAGTTTATAATGGGCTTGTGGATGGCTGGTCTATGTATATGTGGGTGACTGGCTGGGACTGTGTGGATGACAGGGAGATGGATGGATGGCTACCGAGATGTGATTATCACTAACTGGTGAGACATAGAGGCTTCAAGATCTGCAGGCCCACCCTAAACTCTCTTTCATCTCACTTACAAAAACTCTGTAGCTGCTACAACAAACATTGCCCAGAGCTCAGGGGCTTAACACAGTAATAAACAGTGGTTTACTTCTCACTCCACCACAATCCATGGAGCAGAAGGATAGTCATTTGGGGAGAACCCAGGCTCCAAGGCAGGGTTCCCAAATCTTCTATTGCTGATGTCCAGCCAGCAGATAAACATGGAAAAGAAGTTGAGAGAAAGCATAACCACTTTTCCATGTTATAACTCATCCCTTCCTAGTGTTGGTTCATCATATGATCCTACCTACAACATGAGTAACTAACCTCTGAGCTGCACCACCTTCTGGGGGTGTGAAGGTCAAATATTTATGGATGGTTGTTAGCTGCCATGTGGGTGCTGGGAACCAAACTCAGGTCTTTGCAAGAGCAGCCAGTGCTCTTAACCACTGAACCAGCTCTCTACTCCCAAAAAGTATAACTTAAAAATTTAAAAATAAATAATAATATCCTGTCTTGCCTGGTGTGTTTTTTTCCCTTTTCTCTTTTTTTTTTTTTCCTTGCTGTGCTGGGGATCAAATGCAGGGCCTCATGCGTTCTAGGCAAGCATTTTGCCCGTGGAGCCACACCCCTCCCTTGTCCTAAGTGTTGAGTAATCACAGGGCTCAGGGCTAGTTTCTATATTATCCCATTAAACTTTCACAACCATAAAAATTGCCTTCTCTGACCTTCCTCCCTTTTTTGAGGCAGGATGTCTTTATGTAGCCAGGCTGGCCTTAAACTAATAATCTTCCTGTTTCATCCTTCCTAGTTCTGGGGTCACAGGTGTGTACACCATGCCTGGCTCCAAAGAACACTTTCTCATCTGCTTTAGGGAGAAGGAATGACCATGAATCATATGGTTGAGGGCTCCATTTTGTTTTGTTTTCTTTTTTCTTTTTCTTCCTT